CCGTTTCACTATCACTTGGAAGGATGATTTAAATAAAACAACAACAACAAACAAACAAACAGTAAGTAAGTAACAAAAGTTGGCAAGGATGCCAGGGAACTAGAACTCTTTCCTGCTGATGGGAACAGAAAATGGTATAGCCATTGCAGGGGTGGAGACAGGTAGCAGTGTGGTTGTTCCTAAGGAAACTCAAATGAGAACTACCTGATGATCCAGCAATCCCACTCTTAGGTACACAACCAACTGACAGCAGAAAAGTGCACTCGTGTCAAAAGCTGCCAAATACCACCAAAAGCAGAAGCAAAGAAATAAGAACTGTATTTGGTGAAAGAGCCTGAAGTCTTAGCACAAACCAAAAGTCACTGCCATTAAGTCAATGCTGACTCACAGGACCCCTATGGGCAGGGTAGAATTGACCTTGTTTCTGAGACTGGAACTCTATGGGAGTAGAAAGCTCCTTCTTTCTCCTGCAGGTCGGCTGGTGGTTCTGAACTGCTGACCTTGGGGATTGTCACCCAATTGGTAACACTACACCACCAGGGCTCCACAAGCTAAAAACATAAGCATGAGGGCCTAGTTTCTATTTTGAAACTTTATGCAAATTTTGCTTTGTTACATAATATATCCAAGTTCACTTATAGTCACCCGTTTCCTGTTTCCATCTTTGCTTATCCAGTGTATTTCCAAGAAGCAGGCAGAGTGGCCCTGTTAAAACTAAGTCACCATGCCATTATTTTACTCAAACTCTTTCTTTAATGGCTCCCCATTTCACTCCAAACAAAAGCCAAGGCACCTTCATTAACGCACCTCTTGGCTTTCACTCCCATCACTCTTTCACCCACAGGGACTTTTGCACCTGCTGTTCCCACCACTTGTAATGCTCTTCCTTTGACAGTTGCATAGCTAGCTCCTTCACACCCTCAAATCCTAGTTCAAAGGCTACCCTATTTAAGTCTTCTATGTCCAACCACAATGATTAAAAGCAACATGACCTCCAGGAACACTTCCATTTCCTTCTGTATTTTATTCATAGCACTAATCACCTTTGAATATACTTTTCCCCCTTTACTTTTACTATTATTTTTCTCTCCACTGGACTGCAGGCATCAATTTCTATCGTATACAGTACACTGATTTTTTTTCTACACTTAGGAAAGTGCCTGCATGTAACAGACATTTATGAGTATCATCAAATGCTTTCAATTATTTACCGTTTATTCTTGATGTTGTATACTATCTAATTTATAGCTTGTTTAATTAGGAAGATTATATCATTTAGACCAAATCTAGAAACTCCAGCCATTTCAGAAGCCTGGCCTAAAGACTTTTCATACAATTCAAAAGGATAGAGACATGCACTATGTGAGTGTACAATTTATACTTCAGTTTTCCACTGAGCATATCATAATCACTCACTAAACTTAGTACTCGGCACACAGCAGATACTGAAAACAACAAAAACTTGCTGTAGGCCCACAGATGAGATAAAAAAGTTATGAAAATATCCCCAAACCATCAGTGAGTGATGTTACTCATCCATTCTTCTGGGTATTTTAATACTTATTAGTTTATGTACTGGATAAAAGTTTAGCTCTTATTAAAGGTTACTTAGAAAGAATCATATGAATCAAATTTCAATATATTTTATAAGCTAATATAAAAATATATTATTTTTATGTTATATTTCTATAAAATAATTTTTATAAGTTAAAAAAAATCCAAAGACACTATTTATAATGTTCAATGATCCTTTACATAATAGCCACAACATTTTTGAGACGAAATTTCTCTGACTCTCTATTTCCCAGGAGATCTTCAGGAAGAATGTCGGAATAGCGTTTTTTCTGAAGATAAAATTAGAATCCAATCAGATGGACTAAAAAGACAGACAGATCTGCCTTGGAAGAGGAACATCCAAACTGCTCCCCTGAGGCCAGGATGCGAGACTTTTTTATATACTTTGGACATATTGCCGGGTGAGACCAATCCCTGCAGAAGGGCATCATGGTTGGTACAGAAGGGGGCAGAGAAAAAGAGGAAGGCCCCACAGAGATGGATCCCACAATGGGCTCAAGAATAGGAGCAAGTGAGAGCCTGGCACAGGACTGAGTACTGTCTCGTTCTGTTGTGCGTAAGGTCACCATGGCACCTAACAACAACAGTACCAGGGTAAGAGCCCTGGTTGCACTGTGAGTTCTGTTTTCAGCTGGCAACCACAAGGTCAACAGTTTGAACCCACCAGCCGCTCCTCAGGAGAATGATGAAGCTTCTGCTGACATAAAGATGTACAGCCTCATACAGCCCAAGAAGCGGTTCTACTTACAGGGTCGCTATGAGTCAGAAAAGACTCAAAGGCAGTACTTTGTTGATTTTTAGTACCCTTATACAAGAGGAACTCACGTGTAGAAATGAAGTGAAAGTAGACAATTTAGGTAAGAAATCTCATTAATTAAGGAGTCATGGAGCAGTAAGAATAGGGAGACCATGAAGGAAGATAAAGCTAGTGACTGAACTAGGAAAACAAAAGCAATATTAAAACTCCATTGACAACTCTACCATTTAATCACAGGTCACTGGACTATACCCCAAATTAAGGAGGCCAGGAAAGGTATGCATTTTGAAACCAAAGATAAGTTTACTTTTAGTCAGAAAGCATAACGTAGCAGTGACAAATGGGTTGTGCAAAACATTAAAGCGATAAAACAAAGATGGAAAAGACTCCTCTATTTAACAACTACTTACTGAATATCTACTGTATCCAAGCACTGTGTGAGAAAAGGAATGAAAGTGGACATTTTTGTGTACAAGGTCAGATTTGGTCTGCCCCTCTCCTCCTCATCCCCAAATCTGGGTTAAACAATGTTTCCTAGTGAACACTGACTGAGCTATGATACTGTTGTGAGCTGCCATAAGAGATTAATGGCAAATTGTCTCCCAATATGTAAAAGGTATTCAATAAAAATGAAGTTTACCCCGACATGACCGCTGAAGACAAAATGGGTGCATATGTGGTGAAGAAGGCTGATGGTGCCTGGCCATCAAAAGATGTAGCATCTGGGGTCTTAAAGGCTTGAAGATAAACTAGCGGCCATCTAGCTCAGAAGCAACAAAGCCCTCACTGAAGAAGCACACCAGTCAAAGGGCTCAGATATCAGGCATCAAAGACTTAGAACAAAAAAATCATATCAATGTGAATGAGGAGGAGCACGGAGTGGAGACCCAAAGCCCATCTGTAGACAATTGGACATCCCCTTACAGAAGGGTCACAAGGAAGAGATGAGCCAGTCAGGGTGCAGTATAGCACCGATGAAACCTACAACTTTCCTCTAGTTCAGTGGTTCTCTCAACCTTCCTGATGCCGAGACCCCTTAATACAGTTCCTCATGTTGTGGTGACCCCCAATCATAAAATTATTTTCGTTGCTACTTCATAACTGTCATGTTCTACTGTTATAAATTGTAATATAAATATCTGATATGCAGGATATATTGTCATTGTTAACAACTGAACATAATTAAACATAATTAAAGCATGGTGATTAATCACAAAACAATATGTAATTAATTATATATTGCGAAATATTTACGTGTTTTTTGATGGTCTTAGGGGACTCCTGTGAAAGGGTCCAGACCCACAGGTTAAGAACCACTGCTCCTGTTCTTTAATGCTTCCTCCCCTCCACTATCATGACCCCAATTGTACCTTACAAAATCCAGCTAGACCAGAGCATGTACACGGGTACAGATAAGAGCCTGAAACACAGGGAGCCCAGGACAGCTCTTATCACAATCCATACATTCATCCATGTGTCAAGCACATTTGTACATATGTTGTCATCATTTTCAAATAATTTTCTTTCTACTTGAGCCCTTGATATCAGCTCATTTTTCCCCAACGAAAGTATTTAATGAATTAAAAAAAAAATTTTAGTGGGTATTAACAGCAGAAATGTTCAGATAGGATCAGATCTTTTCTCCCCAGTTAAGACTGGTAGGAGATGAGCACATCTATTAAATAGAGCGGCAATCATATAAATTACACTGTAATACATTTCTGAATAAAATCTAAGATTACTGTTAGTTGCCTTGGTATTGGTCCCTGACTCATGCAAGCAGACTGACGTAAAATAAAACGCTCCCAGTGACTGGTTGCAGATCAGGCTGCTGTGATCCAGATGGTTTTTTTATTGGCTGACTTTACAAAGTAGATTGACAGGCGCTTCTTTCTGGTCTGTTTTAGTCTGGAAGCTCTGCTGAAAACTGTTCAGCTTCACAACAGACAAGCTTCCAGGCAGATTAGTGGTGGCTCCATTAGGTATGAACTGAACAAGGATTTCCTGCATGAAAGGCAAGCATTATCACTGAACCACCATTGGGGTTGGGGGTGCTTTACTACAGCTACAAACAATTTAAGCACTGTACCACTGAATTCTGCCTTTGAATGCTTTAGTGAAGATTCTCCTGTGTCCAGTTTAAAGCAATGTGATGAGAAGAGATAATAATCATAGGCCTCCCACAACAAACTAAGTCACTGCCATTAAGCTTGCTCTGAGCAACCCTGTAAGTAAGTATGCGGTAATGCAGAACTGCCCCAGCCGGTTCCAGGGGCTCTAAACCTTTGCAAAGCAGAAAATCTCAACTTTCTGGGTGGGCCGTTAGTGGGCTGTCACTGCTGACCTTGTCGTGAACCAGTAACGCACTCTGCCACAAGGGCTCCTGAACACAGGACTAGGAGAAAAATTCTAGATAGGGCTTTAACAAACTTGGTGTTATTAAGCAGGCACTGATGTGAAAACTAGTAACTTCATCCGTAAAATGACAAGGCTGGACTACAATCTTTCTAGACTGCAATCCAATCCTAAATCTAGGTCTTGTAAGCTTTAGTAATTCGTAGAACGTTCTAGGTTAACATACAACTCACAGGGACGATTCAAGATATTTAAAGCAACAGAAACTCCGTAATTGCTGCCTCTAACTGCAGCTTTAGAATCAAACACATACCTGGAAGTTTAACGTTCAGCTCGTGTTTTTTTAAGGAGCCATCAGCCCGAAGACGGTCACCGGGGGGAGAAAAAACCTTTGGCTCCTCCATCTCGACCCCCAAAGAGGCTTCCATCACAAAACAGAGTTGCAAAGTGCCAGCTTGGGGGTCACGTGCACAGGGGGAACAAAGCAACTGTGAAAATGAGAATGCTGGAGAAGACGATGAGTTTTAATCACTCACGGAAGCAAACACTAAAAAAATAAATAAATAAGGCCCTCCCTGCACAGGGGCAAATACTGTTCAAATCCTCAAAGGAAGGACCACTGAGCTATTTGGAAGGATTCCATTTGCTTCCAGCAGCACCTTCCGGAGATGCCGGCGGGGGCCGAGGAACAATGCCCGGCAGGGGAGCGGGTCCCCGGGGCTGGCAGGGATGGGAGGGCGGGTCGGGGGAGGGGGGAGTCGCGCCGGCAGGTTTGACAGAGGCGGAACCTGCGCGACCACTGAGGCGCGCGCCAGGAATCCCGTGGCGAGCGCCGGCGGCGGAAGGAAGGGGAATGAATGGACGGCCGCGGGCCGCGAGCGCGGCGGGCGGACCTCCGCCGTCCGAGCCGAGCGGAATACGGATTGCGCACGCGCGCGTTCTCCCGCCGCCGGCCGGCGCGGCCCTGGGTGGGGCACTTTACAGGGGCAGGAGCGGAGTCACGAATTCCGAATTCAATTCTAGTACCTCAGAATCCCGCGTCATAGAACAAACGGCCGGAAACTCACAGTTTCGGGGTACAAGACTTCAGTGGCTCCCCAGACACCCGGGGTCGCGGGCTCCAAAACTCCCTCCCCCACTGAGTGCGCCAAACGCGCCTGCGCACGCCTTCCCGCCTCGCCGCTTCTCACGGTGCCTGCGCGCCCGGCAGCCTCACGCGCTTGCGCACAACAGTGAGGGCGCGTCTCCGATGCTGCTGCTGCCTAGTGGCTGCTGCCTAGCGCTGCGATTATAAGGATAAAATCTGAGATTAATCAGAAAGTGAGCCATACTGTTAAGGGCCCAACACTGTTTTCAGGAAAGGTGATAGTTTAGAGAAAGGAAAGCCTTAGCCCCGGGCACATTGCTACGTACTGCAGCCGCCAAGACCTTGGGCGGTGGGTGGGGGACAAGGCAAGAGCTTCTCCTTTCTTTTCATTGAGTGCCCGCCTCTCCTATCAAAGTGCCCAAACTTAAAGTGGGTTGCTGATCGTTTATGACTGACTATGCACAGCAGTGATCACAGCAGCATACTTTCGATCGTTAGGTATTCATGCATTTATGTCCGTGAAGACAGAGAGAAGCGTACACCTCACAAGGCTTCTTGTTCAGATGAATGAACAAGATGAAATGATCACTGTCTCCCAGGGAAGGTTTAGCGATGTACCAGGGCAGAAAGACTATTATTTTGAAGAATAAAAAGTGCTCGAGGGGAGTAATGGAAAACAGAAACGGCATGGTATGTAGGATGGGTTACACAGAGGGAAGGACGTTTTTGTTGACTTCGCTATGTTGTCAGATAACTATGATAATGAGCATGATCTGGTGGAAGGAAAAGTCGGTGTGGAAGAAACGAAGGCTGAGGCTTTCGACTCTGGTATAAGAGTAACAATCTCAGAAATGCACAAGGCAGTTCTGCTCTGTTCAATGGGGTCGTCCGGAGTTGAAAGCCATTCAAGGCAGTGAGTTTTGCTATAGGACAGGAATGAAGTTCTCACAGCGGATGAAGGGATGAGGCGGGTGTGCCTTTGAAGGGAATCTAGATTCCTGTTTTCTTAGTAAAACTTGAACTGAGTATGAAAGGAAAGAAGTATTAGGGATTGGAGGAGGGAGAAAAACGTTTGAAGTTTCTGCTGATTGAGAATGTTAACCGGGAGAAAGATTAAGGCGTTGGCATCAGGGTTGAGGGGTGTATTAGAGATTAAATTGGCATCAGGGTTGAGGGGTATATTAGAGATTAAATTCTAAGCAATTGGATTGAGTCTACTCATATGCCATCGGCTTTGAGTTCATTTCCCAGTGTAAAAAACGTTACCCTATGGTAGAGTATGTTTGAAAGTAGATTATGACTCTTCTACCCAGCTCTGGGAGCCTGGGTGGTGTAGTCGGTTATACTTTGTGCTGCTAACCGTAAGGTCAGCAGTTCGAAACCACCAGCCTCTGAAGGAGAGGGATGAAGCTTTCTCCCTTCAAAAGTAACGGTCTCAGAAACTCACAAGGGCAGTTCTACCCTGTTCTAGAGGATCACTCTGACCCAAAATTGACTTGAGAGGTTTTTATTTGTTTGCTTTTAGTTTTTGAGCCAGCCCTGCGGGCGGCATCTCATAGGCTTGCCTGGGTGTGGCCTTAATGGAAATTGGGGTATGCAGGCTGCGAGGTGGTTGGAGGGCTCTAGAACCAATTCTGTGTTTTAAAAATCTGCAATGGTGTACTTTTACCGAGCATGGTCCCTTTCCCATTTCCTTAGATCTACCGAATCAGAATCCACATTTTTAAAAGATCGTCAGGTGATTTGCATTAACTGTAAAGTGGGAGAACTGTTCTAGAACACTGGTGCTTACCCTTGGCTATCCTTCAGAATCGCCATGGGGCTGTTAAAAATTCTGGAACCCAGGCTGCACCATAGGTCAGTTATAACCGAATCTCTGGGCATGGGTTCTGAGCACCAGTCATTTTGAAACCTCCCCAATTGATTGCAATGTGCAACCAAAGGTGAGACTCTTGACTTAGAAATTGGTCCCACCCCTGGTTTCGTGGGCTTCCAATGAAAGGAGACTCAGAACCACCATGTGTTTAGTATCCCAGTGCTCCCTGGCATCAATATGACAGGTATTAATCTGATAGGCAAGGATCTGCCCTTGTAAGGGATGGTGGAAAATCGGCGGCCCCACGGGGGCCCCGTTCAATGTCAATCCATTGAGAAATCAGTCTGTACAAAACAACAACTGATGAATTGCACCTCACAGTTTGGTTTATACTTGAATAAACTCTTCATATCAATAGTACCTTAAATTTTATGCCATTGGATAAATTATACCACAGGGGGATGATTGACAATGATTTTTATTATTGTCTTTATTATGTTTGTTTGGGGGATAGTGTGTGTTTGTTTTGTTGTTGTTGTTCTTGATTTTGTCATAATATGTGACTGCCAAAGTACACCAGAGTCATTCATTACCCATGGACAAGGAGATGGATCCTGGACTCCCACTTAATTCTAGCCTCAATCCAAGAACAGTTAGTTCAATACTTACCTCCCTGAAGAGATCATTGAAGATAAAAGAGCTACAACAAAGTGTGGTGAAGAAAGCAGCAGATGGTGCCCAGCAATCAATAGGAATAGTGTCTCGGGTATTCAAAGAAGCAACCATCTAAGTGAGGCATCAACGAAATCCACATGGAAGAAGCGCAACCAGCCTGTGTGATCCAAAGATGACATAGCAAAATCGAAATGTGTTGAAACGAAAAGCATCTGTGGTAGTTGCATAATGTCATGTTAACTTGATAGCTAGGCTATAGGGGTGGAGTCTAGGCTGTCAATCAGGACACAGCCTGATTGATGCCTCCTTGTGGGTGTGGCCTTCCCATGAGGATTCTGGGAGTTTTCTCTCTTCCTCCCTGGAGACCAGACACACACTCTCTCTCCTTCACATTCCTGTTGATAAGCCACATGGAGCCAAGCTGATGGCAGCCAGCACCCTGGAGATGCATTCACTGCCATTGGACCCACAGAACTTTCCACCCACTGGCCTGTGATCATCTTGCATTCAGCATCATTGCATGTACTGAGTGAGTCTTAAGAGGAATTCATGGGCTACTATCAGACTTATGGGCTAATATTGAACTTATGGACTTGATCTGGACTGGGATGTTTTAGTGATGCATAATTACTTCTTGAAATAAAGCTCTCTCTTACACTCATATGAGTGTCCCTGGATTTGTTTCTGTTGTCAACCCGGACTAACAGCATCAGAGCTTAAATTGTGAACATGGTTATGGAGGACAAGTACAAGGCTATGGAGGACAGTGGGAACCCAAAATACATCTGTACAGTATCTAGCCAGATTATACCTCTGGCAGATCCCCTCTGGCCACAGGCGAGGTACTCAGCTTTACTATCAGACAGAGATTATTGTAAGCTTGATTATGGTGGATCAAGCCACAGTATGCTACTTGGTCAATTGACCTCTCTCTTTATTCAACCTGAATTTGCTCTATGCTCAAATATTACTTCTCTAGCTCTTAAAATATTGTTGGTGGTCTTTTCTTACTTACTCTTTATTTTTATATTATTATTATTTCTTATTTCGGTTTCATTCTGTTTTTGCTTTTTATTGTTTCTGTTGGGTTTCCCAGTTTGTGAGACACAGAAGGAGTGGATGCATAGAGACTAACTGATGCAATGCTTTACCAGGGATGGGGCGTAGGAAGAGTGAGAGGGATTGGGGAGCAAACCATGAATGTGGGAGGGAGGAGGGAATACTAGAAATGCTTGTGATAATGTATTTACAACTCTTTTTAAAAGTGACTTAACTATGGAAGTGTATAATATGTGAATTTCATATCAAGAAAACTACTCAAAAAAATAAAAGAAAAATGTGTCCCACTCTAAAGACTATTGCTCTTAAAACTTTTTTTTAAATGACTGTAGCTCTTAGCCACCCTACAGGTTGGAACTGAACGCACCCAATTGTTAGAAGAATCCATCACTTAAGAGAACGAAGGCAGCATTTACCGAAAGACAAAAGTTCCGAGGGTTAGAAAAGTCCAAGGATGACAGTTGGAAACACAGGAAAGCAGTAGCTTGAGTAGAGTACATTGAGGGACTGCAACGGCTGCGTTGAAACCAAATACTAATAAATTGTTGAATGATGGTCTGATCTGTAGACCTTCACCTAATTCACAATAAAAAGATATTTTAAATTATAATACTTGCCAATGTTATTTTCCTCATTTTATCTTATAATAACATATACTTCTATTCTCCTTTGTGTCTCCTATATCAACTGTACGAGCCATGGCAGTATTGTGGGTACAAGTTGGGCTGCTAACCACAAGGTCAGCAGTTTGAAACCGCCAGCTGCACCTTGGGAGAAAGCCAGGGCCTTTACCCCCAGAAAGAGTGATAGTCTTGGAAACTTGTGGGGGTAAGTTGTGTGCTTTACTATAGGGTCCTGATGAGTTTGCACCAACTTGATCGCAGCGAATTTGGCTTTTTGTCATTGTGGTTTTTCGTTCAATAAATCCCTCTCACAATTGCTGAGTCTAACAATAGACTTTGCTTTTCTGCTTGCTGTTGCTGAGTCAATTC